ATTAAGGGGCTAAAACAAGGACTGGATGGCTTGGAGTCAGTATACTGTGTCTGAGTGGGGTATTCATGTTAAACTGTGGCATGGTTTCTCAGTGAGCTAGCACTATAAATCGGCATCAGTCCGGACTAGTATAAGCAGCCACACACACACACGTACATGCACATCGCTATATAAGTGCAATAATCTTGGACGCGACATTAAACCCAATTTCACCTCACCTCACCTCATGTTCTGGTATTGACAGACAGACAGACAGACAGACAGACAGACAGACAGATGTTACCTGTGTGGTTTATTGACGTTGAATTTCAAAACAGGAAAGTTGACAAGCTCTGAGCTGCTACAAGCCGTACTAACATGACTGACAGCAGGTTTTCATGTGTTGAAGTGTTGGATGTATGGAGATTTATATGTTAATGAGCCTTTCCTGTACAAACAGGAATAACATACTCTTGAGCACGAGAAGAACCTTTTTTCCGTTCACATGGCACATGAGTTATATGACATGTGGAGTTTGTACAAGGTCAGTGTTAAATAGCTGAGTCATCAGTTTCCACTTCCCTCTCCCAGTAGCCTTGAAACGTCTTCCTTGGTGGGACAATACCTCTCCTGCGCTGTGAGCAACAGAACTGGGGCAGTGGAAACAATTGTTACTTAGTAACAGAGGAAGCAATGATACCTTTCATTTAATGGTTGTTTGGAGAATTTCTGTTGTCACGTAAAACAAATAATTAAATCATGTTATGTGAATGATGATTATGATGATAATGATAATGAAAGATGATATATCACAATTATCACTGTAATGATGTTGATGATGATTTCGATTATGATGATTTCTCCTGCAGATTGTACCTGATTGTCTTCTTTGAAATTATTGGAACTGTTTTTAATTAGAATATTTGCATTAACAAAACCTAAGAATTGACTTTAGTATTATTTGTTTGTGTTTTCGTGAATGGGGTTATGAATATAAAAGAATATATAAATATATATAAATTGAAATACATATTGAAGTCAATTGTTACAGATAAATAATAAATCTGTCAACAATAATAATTTCACAGATTGCTCCTAACACAACATTAACATTAACATTATCATTAACACAAAAAACTGTAGACAACAGTATGATTTCAGTGACACTGTTCATTGCAATAATGCAACACAAACCCCATCCATTAAAAAAAAACAGTATTCTGTTAGTTTGTGTGGCCAATTTCTTTTTATTTGGAATGAAATGCCAAAAAAATGCTTTCTAAACCTATCAAAGGCCATGGAATGACTTGCAATTTCTTTTTTTTAAGTTTGTTCTTCATTCGCGTCTTGTGAGTTATGTGAAGTTTTGTAGCAACATGTAGTCCTCATCTAGGCTAACACTTAGCACGAATTTATCTAGGATTTAAAACTAAGTGCTTTTGGCAGGGTATTTGGCAAAAAAGTGTGATTTTGTTCCAAATTATATTTTTTAAATTTTCTTATTTTTCGTAAAATCCTGATAAATTGAGATTATTATTTTTTCATATTTGGAATTTTTGCTGTCATTTCCTGCGGACTTGGGACGTATATTGGCCTCTGAGCAGGTCGAGATAATCTCTGTTTAGTCTCTGAATATATAGGCTTTTGTTAGAAGCAAACAACTCCATTTAAATTGAAAAGGAGGCCCAGTGAGATGGGAGATTCAGAACAGAACCCAGAAATCTAGACTTGCTTCATTCAGCATTAGACCTGTGAAGATTCCGGGGTAGAATAGGTCTTCAGCAACCCATGCTTGCCGTAAAAGGTGACCATGCTTGTCGTAAAAGGCGACCAACGGGATCGGGTGGTCAAATACGGACATACAGTTTAACAGTGAATGAGTTGTTTTTCGCCTCTTTAAAAAATATGTTAGTTTTATCAAGGATGCTGACATATACAACCCAAAAAAGGTTAAAAAACACACGCCATTGGAAGGCTGTGTGTTGCAATCCCCACCAGCTATACAGGTACTGTCGTCATATGAAAGAAGCGGATGTTTTTTTAAAGTTCTTTCGAGTAGTATATTAACTGTCAGAATAATTTACTGTAGTTACAGGGACACCTAAGCATTGTTAAACATCGCTTGATCTTAGTCCAAGATGACGCATATGTAAATATCTGTCCTTAAAACTTAATATAAATATCTGACCCGTAAAGACTCGGGGTAGAATAGGTCTTCAGCAATCCATGCTTGTCGTAAAAGGCGACTATGCTTGTCGTAAAAGGCGACTAACAGGATCGGGTGGTCAGGCTCGCTGACTTTGTTGATGCATGTCATCGATCCCAATTGCGTGGATTGATGCTCATGATATTAATCACTGGATTGTCTGGTCCAGACTCGATTATTAGCAGACCGCCGTCATATAGCTGGAATATTGCTGAGTGCGGCGTTTATTAAACACCAAACCAACCACAAATCATTTAGCATTACATGCAGTAAGGGCTAGCGGAGACATGGTTCAGGGACTGAGGGAGAGGCTACATCCACCTCCTGCTACTGGAGGTTTTACAACATTTTATTACCGTGCCTAAGGATCCATGTTATGTTGGAGGGAGTAATTGCCATAATAACGTGGTAAGGGCAAAGCATGGTAATTACATTGTCTCAAATTCTGATTGCATATTCATTAGTAAATCCAAGTAATGCAGAGAATGTTTTGTGGAGTCTGGAAAACAGTAATAAAAGTCCTTGAACTGGTCTGAAACTAGTGCACATACTGAGTATACATGCAGGTAGGAGTACAGCAGGCTTGTATTCCTGACTGCAGAGGTAAGTGTAGCTATGCGGGGAATGTACCGCCCCAGGGATGCAGGATGCAGTGAGGAGGGGCTAATCGACAGCCTGATGGAGACAAGCACCTGTTTTGTGTTACAGTTTTTGCTGAACAATTACTTTCATGTCTACTAATTTGTGATCACAGCAGAGCATGAATCATCAGAGATGAGAGGGAGCATGGGTGTCATCAGTGCTAATAATTAAGGGGTAGTGGAGGGCGTGTGTGTGGTTAGGGAATGGGGAGGGGTGTGTGAATGAGGTGGGGGTTGGTGGGGAAAGAGGTATTGGGGGAAAAGAAGTATTACTGTATATGAAATAACATTTCTACAGAGTATACAGGGCACAGGGGGTCCAGTCGTCTAAGGTGCCGCAATTCTCTGTGCAGAGTTGCGTCCCCTGGGCACACCTGAAACGTTAATGATTGTGGGTTCCAATCCCATGTTTCTAACAGAGCTCCAGATAAGCTGCGTATCTGCGTGAAATACGCATCAGAAATGCAGAAATACACAGTAAAATATAATCAAAGCGTATCAAATACGCAACGAACATTACAGATACGCTACAAAAATAAAACTTGTGCGTATCATCAAAATATTGTGAAGTAACCCTGCGTATTCGATGAGCAAATCAGCAACTTATTTTGAAATTATAAAGGGGCATTCTGTCAACCTTGCCAAACTCCACGATGACAGTTACATCATGATCATTTGCCATCACACTTTCTTGTGGAAGTATCGTGGTATTTTTGAGTCCTATAAAGCTCTCAAACCCACACGACACCAGTTTGCAGGGACTAGATGAATAGTGTTTTTAAATATTTAACTTAAATACCCGCATGTGTAAAAACTAGTGGGTAACAGAAAGTTGAATACGCAGGTAGAATTACTGATACCCAATGATTTTAGTGAGTGAGTGAGTATGGTTTTATGCCGCTTTTAGCAATATTCCAGCAATATCATGGCGGGGGACACCAGAAATGGGCTTCACACATTGTACCCATGTCGGGAATCGAACCCGGGTCTTCGGCGTGACGAGCGAACGCTTTAACCACTAGGCTACCCCCCAATGATTTTAAAATGCATGGGTAAAATACCCACAACACCAAAAGCTTATCTGGAGCTCTGTTCTAAGCCTGTCAACACCATACCCGTGCTAGTGGGTCTCACCGCAGTGGTAAGAAACTAGGACCTGCATCACTTCCATACTCCCCCTCACATTGAGCTGACATGCTGTGATATACTGTAAATCTTCACAGTAATGCGAGCGTCAATTAAATGGGGAAAATGCACATGGTCTTTTGCATTTAATTCATGCATTAATTTTGCATTAATTTATGTCTCCAACATGATTTCGATAGCGGAAATACCAACTTTAATTTAAACACAAACACGGTTTATCGAGCAGCAGTTGTAACAAGTACATAACAATGTTAATCAAAGAATAGGAATTACACAATGTGCATCCGGTGAGTTGCTGGGGTCAAGAGTTCTACCCACTCGTGTCAAGCTTGTTGACACCTTAATTCTCCGCATACCAATCAGTGAACTGTTGTTGGTTCAATTATTTTATGTCTTTGAACTTCCTTAATGCCAGTCAACAGAGTAAACATATAAACTGTGTGCTGTTTTTAGGAAAATATTGTTTTTATGGAAGTGCTCTACTCAGTGCTAATAAGCGGTGCTATTTGCTGTTTGATTGGATTAAGATAAGGTTGGATAAAGGTAAGGATATGCACCATTCACTGTGGATGGGGTCAAGCAAGTCACATTGATATTGAGTCACATTTTTGGCCAGGGGTCCGCAGTCGTTTTAATTTTGAGACGCATTAATTTCCAGATTTCCAGTAACTAGGAATGCTGTTCGGCGTTAAACCCAACTCACTCACACTTGTACAGAGTGTCTATCAATCATTATTATGACATCATTGAATCAATGTCAGTGGTGTTCTTCTTCTTTGTGACATTGTTTATTGACTGACTGGTGCGAAAAACCATGAACAAAAAAAAATATTACATTAATAATTTACATGAGTGCAAAGAAAAATATTCAGACACAAAAATATTTTTTCAGTCAACCCAAGCTGATTTATGTTTGTACAATCTGTAAAACCATTGAAGGAAATACATCATGGCCTCAGACGTAGATTATTCAGAGCACCTGAAATTGCTGGATTTCCTCATTATGTGTGTCTCCATCTCTGCTTCAGGGCGAATATGGCTGCATCCCTCATTCAGGATCGAGAAGCTGCCGAATACCAAAAACCGAGCTTTTGTGTTTGAATTGACAACACCAGAAAATCAACTATGTTTGTCGGCAGAGGAACAGAAAGCCATGGACATGTTTGTCTTCATTCTCCAGATACAAGCCAGGCTGCTGGAAAACATCAAAGGTACTGTGTGGGAGGGAAGTTCAAAAATGTATTTAGTTATAAAAAAGTGAAGTAAGAATGCTTTGTGTGGGTATTCAAACAAAATGTAATGGAAATCTCAATCTCATGAATAGCCACTTGTCGCATGTACTTTTGTGCCACTATTCAAGATTGTCCTTTTGTGATGAAGAGTATGAATGCGAAATGTATTTGCTGGAATTGATTGATTTTTGTGTAGGCTATTGTAAGGACGAGATTAAATGTTTGGCAACTCCTGCCTTTATTAGACAATATTACCATGATTCTTTTCAAAACAAAGACAACATTATTGATTTTTGTTATTTATCAACAGTAGTGTTTGAAAGTGCCTCTCATCCAACAACCTGAGCAAGCCATTCTATAGTTAAGGAATCCATTTATTACAAAGATGTCATCACAGCATGAAAAGAATGAGTGATTTATTTCAGTCTTTACATATACACGTTGGGTATAGTACATACATGAAGAATCAGAGCATTGATAAATGATTGCTAAGAAGTGTGAAACGTAAAAGTAAATGATGTTAATGCAACAAAATGCACCCATTAATGAGAATAATCCCACTTACATAATCCAAATGAATATTGAACTTTTTGTTAAGCTTGTTACTGTAATAACTAGTCAGTGTACTGGTCCGTGTACCTGAGGCCATGAATTATTTGGTTTTGTTTTCAGATGATATGATTTTGGTCCAGCCAGAAAACTCCGAGGCGATGCGACGGATGGGAGCGGTCAGCACAACCTGCATCTTGCATGCCTCCCCATGGGGCATGACTCTTGCATTAAAGGTGGGATACATGATATATACACTAGCACTACAGGTGGGATACATGATATATACACTAGCACTACAGGTGGATACATGATATATACACTAGCACTACAGGTGGATACATGATATATACACTAGCACTACAGGTGGATACATGATATATACACTAGCACTACAGGTGGATACATGATTTATACACTAGCACTACAGGTGGATACATGATATATACACTAGCACTACAGGTGGATACATGATTTATACACTAGCATTACAGGTGGGATACATGATATATACACTAGCACTACAGGTGGGATACATGATATATACACTAGCACTACAGGTGGATACATGATATATACACTAGCACTACAGGTGGATACATGATTTATACACTAGCATTACAGTTGGATACATGATATATACACTAGCACTACAGTTGGATACATGATATATACACTAGCACTACAGGTGGGATACATGATATATACACTAGCACTACAGGTGGATACATGATATATACACTAGCACTACAGGTGGATACATGATATATACACTAGCACTACAGGTGGATACATGATTTATACACTAGCATTACAGGTGGGATACATGATATATACACTAGCACTACAGTTGGATACATGATATATACACTAGCACTACAGGTGGGATACATGATATATACACTAGCACTACAGGTTGGATACATGATATATACACCAGCACTAAGGGTGGATACATGATATATACACTAGCACTACAGGTGGATACATGATATATACACGAGCACTACAGGTGGATACATGATATATACACTAGCACTACAGGTGGATACATGATATATACACTAGCACTACAGGTGGGATACATAATATACACGAGCACTACAGGTGGATACATGATATGTACACTAGCACTACAGGTGGATACATGATATATACATTAACACTACAGGTGGATACATGATATATACACTAGCACTACAGGTGGATACATGATATATACACTAGCACTACAGGTGGGATACATGATATATACACTAGCACTACAGGTGAAATACATGATATATACACTGGCACTACAGGTGTAATACATGATATATACACTAGCACTACAGGTGTAATACATGATATATACACGAGCACTAAAGGTGAAATATATGATATATACACTGGTACTACAGGTGGGATACATGATATATACACTAGCACTACAGGTGGGATACATGATATATATGCCAGCACTACTGGTGGGATACATGATATATACAAAAGCACCACAGGTGGGATACATGATATATACACTGGCATTTAGGTGGGATATTTTTATGATATATGAACTGGCATTACAGGTGATATATATCGTCATGTTATATACATGGGTTAGTTATATACGTCAAATGTGAGAACAAAATGTATTCATATATTGCAAAATAGATTGATTGTACAAGAAAAGTACACCTCACGCCAGACTCTTAAGTTATGAAACAAATGTATTGATAAAGCAAGATAATCACAGAAGTGACATTGGCATTATTACATATGTCCTTGCAGCAATCAAGATGTATCGTAGCGCAGTGGCCGATCAAGAGCATCCGATGTTACGAGTCGTCTGGGCGGGGCCTCCTCACCCTGGAAGCGGGGCGTGTGGCACCCATGGGGGAGGGCATCTACATGTTCCAGACCCAGCCGGGGGACGACAGCAGCATGTACGATCTACTCGATAGATACATCATGGAGACACTCGACAGGTCAAAGGTCAGGGGCCATCTTGCTGTTATTTTAACATCTAAGTTAGGATATCTGCAGGAAGCGATTTTACATGAGATGCCTCAAATCTAGAAGCACTGTTATGTTTGGTTGCAGAATTAGTTTTTAAGAATGGTTCGAAACTAATCTATTTATGGCATATGTATTACTCCATAGTTCTGGTGGTTTGATCCGCGTCATACAAAGAGATGTTAAAACATGGTACTTGTTGTTACCCAGCCTGGCGCTTTGCATTAAGGGGATTTAACAAGGACTGGTCGGCTCAGGGTCATTGTATTGATGTTAAACTGCGTCATGGTATCTCTGTGGGCTAGCACTACAGAAATGCCATTAATCCGGACTAGTACAAGCAGCCATGTATGCACATCGCTATATAAGTGCAGTTGACTTGAACGCGAAACTAAACCCCATTTCTTCACACCCACGTTTGGCTGCTGTTAGTATCTACTCATTTACAAGGAAGTCCATGGGGACCCTATTTGTATTAGGTCCCCAGCACTGTTGTTTGTTGTGAGAGACGATGAATTAGATCATGTGGTCAGATTTGATGACCATGTCTGTGTGGGATGTTGCTCATAATATCACCAACTTGCACAGACTTGATTACACAGGCCACCATGACATAGCTGGAATATTGCTGACTGGCGTTAAACAAGATTCATTCATTTTCTTTGAACATTGTCCTGGGTACAATTTAGAAAGCCTCAAACTTGGTGTTTCTTGTGGGGATACAAAAACAATATTGCTAAGAACATGTTACATTATACCTTCTTCACTCTTTTTGGTACATGTCAATTACGGAATATGAACTCCCCTTCACTGGTGATTTGTAATAAGGAACTCATTCATGTTACTGAAGACAGCCTCCCTGGTCTAATGGTAGAGCATCCGCCCGGAGAGCGGCAGGTCCAGGGTTCGATCCCCGGCCGCGTCATACCAAGAGACGTTAAAAGATGGTACTTGTTGTTACCCTGTCTGGCGCTCGGCATTAAGGGGCTAAAACAAGGACTGGTCGGCTCGGAGTCAGTATACTGTGTCTGAGTGGGGTATCCATGTTACACTGCGGCATGATATCTCAGTGTCCTAGCACTATAAATCGGCATCAGTCCGGACTAGTACAAGCAGTCACACACACATACACGTGCATGCACGTCGCTATATAAGCGCAATAATCCTGGACGCGACGTTAAACCCAATTTCACCTCACCTCATGTTACTGGAAAAAGGTTTTGTTTGACACCAGTTTAATGGATGCATTTTTGTCTTGTTCAGATAACGCGACGAGGCACTGACCAGGAGATAGAGGACTACTTGCAGGAGTTTGACCGTATGCATACGCTGACCACGATCAGGCCCTGCAAGCTGACAACCCCTGGGGTCCCACGTATCCTGCTTGATAACTGGAATTATACCATGACAGGTGGGGAATAACAGGCTGTATTCTACTTGTGTAACTTACATGAACTAGGGAGCACGGGTAGCCCAGTCATCTAAGGCGCCGTGATTCGCTGTGCAGAGTTGCGTCCCTTGGGCCTGCCAGAAACCTGTGATTGTGGGTTCGAATCCCGGTTCGCCCCGATTATGTTTCTAGCTTTGTCAGCACCATACCCGTGTTCGTGGGTTTCATCGAAGTGGTAAACGTTTGAGACCTGCATCACTCTCCTCCCACATGAAGCTGACACGCCGTGATATAACTGGAATACTGTTAAAAGCGGTGTTAAACCCAACTCACTACATGAACTAATTGGCTGTAGGACATGTGTTCGTTTCACATCAGAAATTAGACTGTTATACAGAAGTCCGATCAGAATAGAAAACTAATATTCATGATAATAGAAATATTTTCAGAACTACTACGTCTTGTTACTTCATTTTATGGCTTCTTGTGAATGGATATAGACTTGACTTTGCAGTTTTGCTTTCACTTTTGTTTAGTTTCGTATTGAAAGGTTTATGATTTTTGATCCCCACTACAAGGTTATTGTACTATGCAGGGAAAGTAGATTTTGATAAGTTCATAAACACTGATGTAGGTGTTTATTACCTCGGAGAAGGCAATTACTGCTGTTTCTGCACATACAGTTGTGTCTGCACATACAGTTGTTTCTCTCAATCCAGGAGTGAGGATCGAGCCCAACAACAACCCCATCATGAATGGTGGCATCTCCCACCATGCTCAAGACTCCAGTATTTCATTATCGTAAGTTTTTACTGATCAAACTTTGTTTGGAAATTCATTAATCAAAGGTGAGCGAAACATTTGGTAAATTCAAGGTGTGCAAAAGGTTGGGTAAATTCAAAGTGAGAGAAACGCTGGGTAAATTCAAGTTGAGAGAAACGCTGGGTAAATTCAAGGTGAGAGAAACGCTTGGTAAATTCAAGGTGAGCGAAACATCAAGTAAATTCAAGGTGAGAGAAACGCTTGGTAAATTCAAGGTGAGCGAAACATCAAGTAAATTCAAGGTGAGTGAAACGCTGGGTAAGTTCAAGGTGAGCGAAACATCAGGTAAATTCAAGGTGAGCGAAACATCAGGTAATTTCAAGTTGAGCGAAACATCAGGTAAATTTAAGGTGAGCGAAACGTCAGGTAAATTCAAGATGAGGGAAAAGTCAGGCAAATGTAAAGTGAAGGAATCATCAGGTAAATTCAAGATATTCAAGATGATGTAAATGTCAGCTAAATTCAAGGTGAGAGAAATGTCAGGTAAATTCAAGATGATGTAAATGTCAGGTAACTTCAAGGTGAGAGAAATGTCAGGTAAATTCAAGGTGAGAGAACCATCAGATAAGTTTAAGGTGACTCGAAAGTCAAGTAAATTCAAGGGGAAGGAATCCTTCGGTAAATTCAATTTTCTGCCATCTGCAATTGTTTTCCTCACTCATGATTGGGATATTTTGAGAATTAAGAACATTGACCAAGGGAGATAACTGTGCAGAACATACTCTCACAGGGATGTTGTACTACAAAAAACACAGCTGTACTTACTTAAAGGGGCACTGATCTACAAGAATTTGTCAGGGCTGGTTGTTACCCTTGTCATTGTCGCTTCTATTGATGTGATCAAAATGACTTAATACAGGCAGTATTGTTGACATAATACAGACAGACTTGTTGACATAATACAGACAGCATTGTTGACATAATACAGACAGACTTGTTGTCATAATACAGACAGACTTGTTGTCATAATACAGACAGACTTGTTGACATAATACAGACAGACTTGTTGTCATAATACAGACAGACTTGTTGACTTAATACAGACAGAATTGGGGACAAAATACAGACTTTTTCAAGGAATATTGACAGCATTATTTCCTTGATTTTACAAAACTTACATTAGAATTCATGTATTTCCCTAGCTGAGGAAATACAAACATTCAGTTCCTAAATTTCAGTCAGATACGCTCAGGCTTGTTTAGGAGATAATTGCCGATTTGATTGCATGTTTCTCATGACTTTTCTCTGTTTCTTAAAGGTCTCTAGTGTCACGACAATCAACCGGCTCAACATCAAAACAGTCTCCACCACTAAGCTCACAGATGAGACAAAACACTCCGACCTCAGCTGTCTCTGGTGAGCCCCGACTGACAGGACGACCCCCGGCCCCTCCCCCCAGACCCGTGAAGATCCCTCACACAAACGGAGCTCTTGGACGGCCTGTCCCCAGACCGAGGGGCGCCAACTCCCAAACGCCTACAGAAGGATACATGGGCATGACGTCCCCTAGTCCATCAAAATCATTTGGCTCAAATCCTCTTTCTCCAAAGTCTCCTGGAATTCATGAATGGGATCCACCACCCTCGTTTAATGATGCATTGAGCTTCTCAAGCCCAAGGCTAAGGCAAGATTCTGATTATTTGAGCCCAGTGGCAAATGACACTCTGAATGCAGAAACCAGTTTCAGATCTGAAATTAGTCCAAGGGTCAGTGGATTGAGCACGGCCGGATCTGAAACCAGTTACCGGAGTTCTGATACCAGTTTCAAAGACTCCTATACCAGCAGCCGGTCATACTACCTGTCGGCAGTGGCAGGGGACAGTTACCACTCAGCTCCGGCGTCTGGCTTTGACCAGTCGCAGTACGACAATGAAAACGTGAACTCCAAAATGACAGACCAGGAAGTGAAAGATATGAAGCAAGCATCGGCTAGCTGTGAAGACCTCAGCGATCACATGAAGATGCAGTTGTATTATAACGATGGGTCGGATGATGAGGAGAACAGAGGCAATGAGGTGGATGAAAACATGAATCATGACAAACCGCCCATGCCGTTTACGAGACTGCAGGCATTTCGCAACAGCGCTGACTGGGACGCGAGAGACCGCAGCAAGTCTGTGGACTATTATAATGTCCTGCGACCTGGGGTACTGGTCGACCGGAGTCCGAGCCCCAGTGTTCGCCGCATCCGACGTCTGATGGGCAAGGGCAACCATGAGACACTACGCAAATCTGTGTCCAATCCAAATTTTCTTAATGTGGCCAGCAAGGAGGTTCACAACTATATGAAGTCAAATGGTTATAAACCGTCATCTAGTCATAATTCGCCTAACCTTGAAAGACAGTCTCGTAGCAAAAGTCGTTCATTGGTTGATCTTCTTCCGGGCGCAATCAGACGACATTTTAGTCACGAAAACCTTCATCGTTCACGTAACGCAACTCCTGTGCATAGTCGGAGTACGACTCCAGAACGCAATAACTCCAAACATGTTCGAGGAAATAGTTTTGAAAATTCGGGTAAACCAGTTCTTAATCGGCAAGAGAGTGCCAAGTCTTTTGAAGCCTCGGTTAAAAACATTAAAGTAACAGACAGAACAAGGTCGTTCAGGAAGGTGAAAAGTATTGAAAATGAGAATGCTACAAATAAAGACAGTGCTTCAGAGAAATTACCCATGCGTGAATTTTCTCGTAGAAAACCAGCCCAAGTTTCTCCCCAGGAGCAGGTGCAGAGACAGACATCCCATAATTCCCAGCATCGCCATAGTGACAATGGACCCCTTGTACAGACTGTGTCGAGCTCTTCCAGGAGAAATCAAAACATGGCGTATGTGCCTGTTCACCAGTTTAACCCAATATTCAGAAATGGTAGTCAGTCGAGTGCGTAACCATGACAACCATTTTGTATTCAGACTGATCTGTACAAACGCTGCTTAATAATTATGATCTGTGCTACAAGTTTATATCTCTGTATATTTATGTTTGTAAATCTTTATGACAATTTCAGTATTGGAAAAATCTGCTGACAATTTTGTACACCATATGGCACAATATTTTTTTATGTGACTTTTATATTGTATATTTACATCATCATAATGAAAGGTTTTCTAATCTAGGATCTCAACTGTAAAGCATGTTATATTGCTTCATTTGTGAGAGATTTTTGATAATGATGTACAAGAACCAACATTATGTTCTTTATTTGCATCTTAATATTGAATATTAATATTTGGGTGAGATTATTAAATACGTTTTCTGGTTGTCACTTATGCGGCTGTTTGATAGGCTTTAGACGTTATGGGTTATTAGCTTATAGAGGACAACTTCATCATTCTGAATGTGTAAGGGCTGTTGTCCAATGGGGGCCCTGTCATCTGAGGCGCCACAATTCTCTGTGCAGGGTTGTGTCCCTTGGCCACACCAGGAAACTATTTTTTATTGGTTTGAGCCCGGTTCGTCCCGATTATGTTTCTAGGTATGTCAGTACCGTACCCATGCTCGTGGGTCTGAGACCTGCACCACTTCAGGCTTTCCTCCCACATTAACTGGAATACTGTTGACAGCAGCGTTATTCCCAACTCACTAACTCACTCTTGTCCAAGGAGAAGCCCCATGTTTGTACTGCACAGGCATGTGTGGTGTGTGCTGCAAGGGTGTTTTATACAAAATGGGATGTTTGTGATACTGAACATGGGAAATGCATTATCACCGTGATTAAATCTTTAAAAAAAACATTTATAAGTCGGATTGCCCCTTGTACAGACTTCAGGAAGTCATGGTGTTTATTTGCTTGTCACGTCAGAACTGATCCTGTTTGCAGTTAACAAGATAGATCTTACGTTGTCACACAAACATATTTAACCAAATATCTCTCTAATTTAAAAACATGTCACAACAAATGTGTTACATTTGTCACAAAATTTTTGTTGATGATATAATAATCCCATCGATTTGTGTAACTGAACTTTTCAACACAGTGTAAAATTATTTTGACAGTGCAATATTTGTCGTGAATAGATATAAAACAAGTTTCGGTGTCATGGTGTACGAGGTCATTCTGTTCCTGAAATCCTCTACAAAGTGTCACAGGGGACTCCTTATGAGAATATAAAAGCAAAGTCCTGATTTAAACCATGTATCTATAACAGTTCAAAGTGTGATCGAACCTCTTCATATTGTGAAGGGCATATGATAAACATGGGATATTGACCCACATACAGCTAAGTGTTTCACAATGAAGAAGGGGCAGTCGGGTAGCCTAGTGGTTAAAACGTTCGCTCGTCACGCGAAAGACCCACACCGAAGACCCGGGTTCGATTCCCGACATGGGTACAATGTGTGAAGCCCATTTCTGGTGTCCCCCGCCATGATATTGCTGGAATACTGCTAAAAGCAGCGTAAAACCATACTCACTCACTCACTCGCAATGAAGAAGTTGTAAGCCTCACCTTTTAAGAGCAGAAACTATACGATTGATATCAATATCAATATTCATTTTCATCAGTTGTATTAACGTATCATAGTGGAAACTATAAATACATGTGTTTTTTATGTTTTCATAATGTTTAGCTTCTATTACTTTTAAAGTGCAGATGATATCATTATTGGGCTTTTTTTTCATGTGTGAATGTTGTCAGAATTATTTTCATATTTGTTCCATCAGTGTCCAAATGTTCAGATACAGATCTTGATAATGAAATGCATCAGTTGGGGTGCCTCCTGAACACTTACTTGCCAACATTGCTTGGTCAGCATAATATAAATATGTTTGTTTTTCTACAGTTGAGAGTACATGTGTACTCTATGATCCTCATCATGGTTGTGTGAAAACTGCTCAGGCCTTCTTGGATTTTCTCAAAAGTTCATGTGCATTTATTTTTGAAAATGGTGTTGGTTCTTTTGAGATGTACCCTCTGCATCAGATGTCTTCCAAAGTGATGGTGGCCAGACTTCAAGGCAGCCTTGTGTTGTTGTGGTTGGGATGTTGCTTGTGTTCTGACGTCTAGATTACAGTAGACAGAGTTCTCTGAAGAGGGTACTCCCACAGTACAAGAATGTTCATTTTCAAGTCTTTAGTTTTGGGTTTTGTTAGAGATATAGCTGGTGCTGACTAGCAGTGGGATGATACACTGATGCATTGGTGGATCGCGATATTTTATTTCTCGATACAAGTGTCGATCACAATCGCACACAAAGTAAAAAGTATCAATTCTTACCTTCAATGTATTCTTCAATAAATGTTACACCAAACACTGATTACTAGTGAAATGAGTAGTGAAAACGTAAATATTTTCACCCATTGCGCCATACTTGACACTGCCTACTGTAAATCGTTAGTGTGCCAGGTATTTGTCTGTCCTGTCTATGAAAAAGATGGCTTACACACCACAGATAAAAGCACATGCAAGTATCGTGATACATATCGGATCATGCAGTTGGTGTATCGTCCCAGCTCTAGTGCTGAATAACAATTTTTGCTGTAAATTTGTTCTCAAACCTTGTAAAATTTACTTATATATGTCCCTCAAGTAATCAAATGTACGGCACAGACACAGATGACCAATCAGTAGATCTTCTGCATATGTCTATATGTGATTGGTCGATCAGAGACTGTGTCAATACGCATGGTATGCAGGTATTGTTGCAAAGATTGTAAGATTTTTTTTTAAATCAGTACAGAATTATATGTAAATCTGTACATGGGTACTTGTATCGTGTGTACATCGGCTGTCAATTTTCACATCAATACATCAGTAAAATAAGAAACAAATTATCATGGATGCTGATTTTTTTGGGAAATACACATTTCAGCATGCTACCATGGTCAGCAGTCACTTGATTTCAGAGTTACTTCCCTTGGTTACTTAAATCAGCAGTGAATTCCAATTGGAGATATGTACCGGTACACTTAGAAAACAAGGACTTTTGGATTATTTCTCCTGAGTAAATTACTGGTGTAAGTCCCACACCTTTAGAAAATGTAGAAAATGTGGGTTTCTTGATCTCAAGAAGACATCTACTCTGTCTGTCGGTTTCTGGATTGACATCACTCTAAATCGTTTATGACATTGTGAACAATGGATGGCAATGCGTTCATGTTGGTGGGTCCTAGCCAATCACCATGAAGCAAACATTGTGATGTTCAGGGAGAATTATTGCAAACGATTTCACCAATGTCTCTGTCCCTGTGAGTAATTCAGGGTTTTACCTGACGCAAATGATGACATTGTGCTCAAATAATATGCATGGGACACAATAAAATATTACTGTTTGAAATTGTATCATGCATGTTAGATTTGACCGACGTTTCTATTCTGAATTGAGGGGCGGTCGGGTAGCCTAGTGGTTAAAGTGTCCGCCCGTCACGCCGAAGAACCGGGTTCGATTCCCGACATGGGTACAATGTGTGAAGCCCATTTCTGGTGTTCCCCGCCATGATATTGCTGGAATATTGCTAAAAGCGGTGTCAAACCATACTCAGTCAGTCAGTCAGTCAGTCAGCTATTCTGAATTGTTTGATAGGCATTACTTAGAAGCTGAGGGATGACAGAGTAGACACAATTTAAGGATATCAACTTCTATATTTACTGTAAAGGCAACATTTCGGTATAGATCCTTATACCGTTGTCAAGCAAGGACAATGGTATAAGGATCTATACTGAAACATCGCCTTTACAGTAAATAAAGAAGTTGTTATCCATAACTTGTGACTACTTTGTCATTTCTATCCTGACTATAAATACTGTGTCCATGTGTTCACAGAGTATCATTGCAACATCAATAGAGTAAGACATCAGTGCTTGCACAATGCTATGACATCATTAAGACTGATGAAAGTCAACTGTGCCTACGTATATTTTCAGACTGTTTACTGAAAACAAAGATATATTTATTTTGGAAAACGCAAGTCATTATCACTACGTCAGCTGTAGAATTAGTTTCTTGAAACCACACTCAGTAATATTCCACTTATTTACAGTGGCCTGTAAATAATCCAGTCTGTACCAGACTATCCAATGATTGATATTATGAGCAATATTCCGTTCTGGAGGGTGACATCCCCCTATCTCCGGGCATGCGCATACCACTAAATTTGTCTTGGCATCCCGTTGAAGAACCTGTAAGTCCTGTTAGGGTACACAGCTGGTACATATAAATAAAGTCGCAAATTTCCACATTGAATGCATGATCAACCGTGCTCGTAAGCTGAGGGCTTAATATTTTATTAATTTATCACTCTTTGCCAGACCAAAAATAAATTTCAAAATTGAAATATTGGCATTTGGATTAACATTGCATGGCATCCTGGCTTTGCATGGGCTTGGCATCCAGCGTACCAAATTGGGGATGGTACCCTCGCCCTGTCCAGGTATAATGACACCACCAAGTGTGACCCTACGATCTTAAATCCACACAAGCTCCAATCAAAAGGACTGAAAAAATGGTGAAAACGTGTCTGAGGATTAATCATGTTCCACTGAACAAAAAGACGTTCAATTTTTGGTTTTGGTTAATTACCTCTGAATATATTAACAGCATTGTCTTGAGATCAATACAGGAGATACTTGAAGTCCTGGCATTTGGTCTTAAATAAGCATTAAGAAGTTGTAGTTCATAGAGACGAGGGATACAGATTCTATGTTCATGTACACACTGTTTGGAGGCTACTAGTTGCCCCATAAGCAGGTAGTCAACGTACAGGAGTTGAAATATGTGGTCTCTCAGTGGCATTTTGGCCTCTTGATATAACATTTAAGTGAACAAAGCATTACCCAGGTTCTAGAGATGGGAGTTCATATAATCAGAAGAGTAGCATTATATCTGTATTTTTAAAATTTAGGTTTGAAAATTGAGATGTATGAATATTTTGAAAATTGAGTTGTATTTTGAAAAGATGTGTTTGTTGATTTTATTGTGTTTATTTTGTATCATAGCTCTATATCTGTTACAATCTTGCCACTTCTTACAATTGTACATAGATTTTATTTTTGTGTATTGTATATGTATGTTGTATTATGACTGGTATAGAAACGGTCTGTGACTCCTTTGTCAGGACCTAGCTCCGAATGTTTCATGTCATTCTCTCATTGGTTGTTTCAAGGGCACGGGTTGTCCAATCGTCTAAGACGCCACAATTCGCTGTGCAGAATTAAGTCCCTTGGGCACACCTGGAACCTATGATTATGGGTTCGAATTTTGGTTTGCCCCGATTATGTTTCTCGGTTAGTCAGCACCATACCCGTGCTAGTTGGTTTCACCGAAGTGGTAAACGTCTGTGACCTGCATCACTCCGGGCTTTCTTCCTACATTAAGCTGACACGCTGTGCCATAACTTGAACACTGTTGAAAGTGGCGTTAAATCCAACTCATTCACTTATTGGTTGTTAAGGATGATGTAGGGGTGTGATATGTTATGCAAACCTATATTGGAGTGTGTGATATAAAGTATATCACAAAACTATGGGTGTGAGAATATATGGATCACAACATTGGGACTGTGTAGGTGTCATGCAATCTGATTACAATGAGATCTTTTACTCCTCTCAGTGTGAAGATGTGAGGACATCTCCATAGGAGGTCACTTCAGGTGAACCTTCCAGTCAGCCAATCATTGTCAAGGCTTCGAAATACTTGGTACCAGTGAGCGAACCATTCAAACCATCCTCTCAGATTTCTGTACTTTGAGAACAAACTAAAATGACAAGTTCCGAAAGTAGAAATATAGCGCCATTATATTGTTGTGGGTATTTCATGCATCTTCTTGTTTCCAAGCCTAGTTGTATCTACGTCTGAAAGGGACTTCCATGAAAGGATTATTTGTGTTCTGTGCAGGTTACATTTGTACAAACCGAAATTTCTGAAAAGAGGAGGCAAGAGTGAATCGTTTTAGAAATCTGACCACTGATGGGGCGGTGGGGTAGCCTAGTGGTTAAAGTGTTCGAAGACCCAGGTTCGATTTCCCACATGGGTACAATGTGTGAAGCCCCCCCGTGATGTTGCTGGAATATTGCTTAACGCGGTGTAAAACCATACTCACTCACTCACTCTCTCACACTGACCACTGATTGGTTCAAGGAGCCATGCAGCCTTTTTATAACTGTTGTCATCATTTGCTCAGGGTTCATGTGATGCTACCTTCTATGGGTGTGTCGACAGAAGTAACGCCGAGAGGTGTGGTGTCGGAGTGAAAAATCAAATTTTCATGACATCAGGTATCAGGAAGCAATGTTTTGAATATCTTTGCTTCTTTCTGGCCACATACATTTAGTCCACCTATAAGTTTCAACAGGACATTAACTTTGTTAAACAAATATGTTTTATAAATTTTGTCACTGAGATTTTGTCTGTTGATTTGATTTCACAGCAGGTGGACATTTTATGTTCTTTTGACCTCACAACTTACTGGAACAACCCCAAATGGCAGCTAACATATAAGTCAAATATGATTACATTTGTCTGACAGAACTGTTTTGAATTCAGTGATGGTAATGTTTTTAATAAAATGTTCAGCTGCCTTGGATGTCTATTTGACATTGGTGCTCAAATATATTTTCACTGAAGACCCATTATTGTCTTTTTAAAATGTAATTTTGGTATGTGCTAGTGTACTGAATTCATCATATTTTTTCATATAAATTTCTTTTTAAAATGTCTCTGATATCGTTATCTTCTTGTATTCTTATATGTCCCTTGTCTGTCCAGAGGTTTAGAAAACTTAAACCATGTTTTAAAATTGATGATAAGGTCTAGTTATGGAAGACAATTATTACAACGTGGATCCCAAACATATTAAAAAACTCTACATGTTTATTTTATGGAACTTGAGATGTTTGTAAATTGAAAAAATATTTTTTGTCCATATTGAATAATTTCATTTGTGAGTGAGTGAGTATGGTTTTTGTCACTTTTAGCAATATTCCAGCAACTTAATTGCAGAGGACACCAGAAATGGCCTCCACACATGTTGGAAATCGAGCGAACGCTTTAACTACTAGGCTACTCCACCGCCCCTAATTGCATTTGTGGCCATCTGTATTGTAGAGCAGACCTCTCTTGAACACAATCCTGTTCCGCAGTGGTGAAATCACAGCGACTGTAATGCTGAGCATGAGTAGAACCTTGTGTTTTGTTGGGAGGAACATTGCCAACCATGTTGTTATGAGGGATATTAATAAAGTTATGTTTCTTTTGAAGGACTTTTGTTATTAAGGACTGACCATTTGATATTTGTGGAATGTCCAGAGTGAGTGAGTGAGTGAGTGTCAGCTTAATGTGGGAGGAAAGCCCAAAGTAATGCAGAAAGAAACCCACGAGCACAGGTATGATGCTGACAATCCTAGAAACATAATCGGGGCGAACTAGGATTCGAACCCACAATCATAGATTTCTGGCGTGCCCAAGGGACGCAACTCTGCAAAGTGAATCACAGTGCCTTGGACGACTGGGCTACCCATGCCCCCTGGAATGTCCTGAATAAGTGTGTTAGATATGCAGTGGATAAGTGAGGTGAGGTGAAATTGGGTTTAAGTCGCGTCCCAGTGGATAAGTGCTCAACATGAGGAGGTTATGATCGGAGATGGGCTGTTCTTAGGCACACATATTACGAGATGAAAGTTATTGAAGGAATGCCCTATGCCCAACCACAAAATATACATAGTGTTGCTTTGAATCCAGTGATTGATTTGGTCACCAACGATTATTAGCAAACATAGGGGCATGTTTAAATGCCAGCAGTATATTGTGAAACCACAACAGTAATACAGTGCAACCATATAAATGTCATTTATTTAATCAATAACCCTAAACGATACAAATATTTCAAGAAAACAAGGCCTTACACTAGTGTCTGGTGGCCATCTTGAAAAAGGCAGCCATATTGGATTTTTCCAGAAATGATAGTAACATCTATATCTATGATCATGCTTTTAACATTAAGTATCACAATTGACCCTATATCTGTCATAAAACGGAGTCTGAAATTTCACGCCCATCCCCGTCATGGCATGCATAAAATCAAACGAGTAAGAAATACATCACACATTGACAGTACACATAGGACCGAGTCAATTCAAACACAGAGTAAATCGTTTTTAGTGTGAAATGCAACGTTGTTGATAGGCGGTTTTTTATGTTCATTGTAACACCACAGACACTCCTGGGTCGGTACCAACAGACTGAAAACACTAGGGCCCGACGTCCATGAGTAACGTCACATTGGCAAGATAGCTATATCCGCCTGGTTCATGTGTGACAGTCCGCAGCACCCCTGGTTTACTTCCGATTGGTGCAAGGACTAAGATGAACCGATTACGAGAGCAAAACACCCGAACACGAACTGCACGCCTGTCATTGCCAAGACACCATATGAGTTTTAGGTTACAGGACTGGGGTTAGTCCAGGTTCAATTTTGAATGGCCGTTTGTGTGTTTTTCGACGTCGGAGGGAACGTTAGGTCGTTGCGGTTGTTATTTAACCTTCACTGCACATTACAGGACATCTGGTGGTCATCGATGGCAATTTGACAGGTGTTTAGTGCCGTATCGAAGTTACCTGCTGGGACACCACATCCCGACACACCTTGACCTGCTGTTTCGCCAGATCTGTCGCCGATCGAACATATGTGGGATGAAACGTCGTTTACGCTGACTTCAAAACCAACCGGGGGCGGTCGGATAGCCTAGTGGTTAAAGCGTTCGCTCGTCAGGCCGAAGACCCGGGTTCGAATCCCGACATGGGTACAATATGTGAAGCCCATTTCTGGTGTCCCCCGCCGTGATATTGCTGGAATATTGCTAAAAGCGGCGTAAAACCATACTCACTCACTCAAAACCAACCGAACATTCAACCAACCAACCAACCAACCAACCAACCAAACAACCACGTGTGAACGTGTCTAACGAACGTCGTGCGAACGTCAACGTAAGACAACGTGACAGATTTGGGGGTAGGTCTGTAATGATATGGGGCGGGATCATTTTGACTACCAGAACGCCACTGCATTTTATTGTCTTGGGAAGGGTCTCTGGACAGTATTACCAAGATAACAGACTGGCGCCAATGGTTGTGTCGTTTGCACGCCATGCTGGTCTACGTTTGGTCTTTCAAGACGATAACACTCGTGCCCACGTTGCACGCATCCTAACTGACAACCTCCAGCATAAAAAACATCCCCAATGGCCAGTCATGAGTCCTAACCTTTTTATGGCCGCCTCCGTGGTCTTGTTGTAGAGCGTCCGCCCGGAGAGCGGAAGGTCCGGGGTTCGATCCCCGGCCGCGTCATACCAAAAGACGTTAAAAGATGGTACTTGTTGTTACCCTGTCTGGCGCTCGACATTAAGGGGCTAAAACAAGGACTGGTCGGCTCGGAGTCAGTATACTGTGTCTGAGTGGGGTATTCATGTTAAACTGCGGCATGGTATCTCAGTGAGCTAGCACTATAAATCGGCATCAGTCCGGACTAGTACAAGCAGCCACACACACACATACACGTGCATGCACGTCGCTATATAAGTGCAATAATCTTGGACGCCACGTAAAACCCAATTTCACCTCACCTCACCTAACCTTTTTATCATAGAACACGTCTGGGACTTTATCAGGAGGCGTGGACACTGACATCAAAGGTCTTTTGCTACGTTAACCGAAATACTGTTCAAAGCGACTGACACACCCTGATATGACTGAAATATTGCTCAAAGCGACTGACACACCGATATATAACTTAAATATTGCTCAAAACGACTAACATACCGATATGTAACTTAAATGATGCTCAGAGCGACTGACACACCGATATATAACTGAAATTCTGCTCAAAGCGACTGACATACCGATGTATAACATAAATACTGCTCAACGCGACTGACACACGCTGATATAACTGAAATACTGCTCAAAGCGACTTTTATTCACTGGCAAATGACCTTATAGTTCCCTGTGAAATAGCTTATAACTTCCTGGTTCCTGGCTAATAGCAATATAACCTTATTAATCCCTGTGAAATAGCGTCATAACCTTATCATGTAGGGCCTCCGCATGCATGAACGTACGGATTACTTGAACTGTAACAAGGTGTACCTAACGTCTTCAAAGGATCCGAAGCTAAACAGAAGGACGAAACACAAGACTTATTTTATTTTACGCCACTAATAATGGCTGGTGATTCACAGACCTTTATTACCCACAAAAAAGTGATTGGCTAGTCACAATTTTGTGAAAAAACATAACCAAGTCCGGGCATCATGACGTACTAGTTGGTTGACGTGATCATGACACTGTTCCCACTTTGAGTTACGGGACTGAGTCTGCGGAAACACTTTGAGTTACGGGACAGAGTCTGCGGAAACACTTTGAGTTACGGGACTGAGTTCGCGGAAACACTTTGAGTTACGGGACTGAGTTTGCGGAAACTCTTTGAGTTACGGGACTAAGTTTGCGGAAACACTTTGAGTTACGGGACTGAGTTCGCGGAATCACTTTGAGTTACGGGACTGAGTTTGCGGAAACTCTTTGAGTTACGGGACTGAGTTTGCGGAAACACTTTGAGTTACGGGACTGAGTCTGCGGAAACACAATATTGAACTTAATGAGACACAAACGTAACTCACGGAAACTTGTCTTTGTTAACTCGGAATGTTAAAATTCGTCTCATTGTGAGAAGCGTGGTGTACGGTATTTTACAGATACCTGGTGTACTGACCAATTACATGGTAAATGTTTAACATTGAAAAACTATATATACCGAATGTGTTAACTACACATGTACGCAAATACCTGTAATTACAAACTAGCCATTCCGGTAACTTCATAATACATCGTGACTGGGTTGGTTGGTTGGCTGGTTTGTTGTTTAACGCCGGACTCAGCAATATTCCAGCTATATGACGGCGGTGTGTAACTTATCGAGTCTGGACTAGACAATCCAGTGATTGGTATTATCCATGCATCAACCAAGTCAGCCAGCCTGACCACCCGATCCCGTTAGTCGCCTCTTACGACAAGCATAGTCGCCTCTTGACTGGGACGAGCCGATGACGAGCCGATGACGAACCGATGAAATACCATCCGCGCTGACTGCTGCTTCCCGACTTTCTCCAATAAACACACAACGTATTGCACAATCAAAATCACGTTTTCATCTTTATTGTTTGGTCATACAGCTGGACAAGGTAGGCGATTCTACGTCAAACGTTTACGACTAACCAACCTGATTTGGTTTTGTTCCATTTATCCGAAGTCAGTAAGTGAGTGAGTTGGTGTTTACGCCCCTTCATCAATGTTCATGGTGGTAGATGGTTGTACCCATGTAAAGATTCGATGAGCGAACGATGTAACCTCCGGGCTACCCGATCCTACCTCTTTTCCCCCTATCTCGTGGTAAATAGTTGAATCTTTTGGTTGAGGAAAACGATAGCGTTTCGGTGTCATTGTTCATAAGTACGAAATAGTCCAATGGAGGCGTGCTTGTAAACGTAAATTCTGCCATAGTTTCCTTCCCGATCATGTCGCCTTGGCCAAACCTGAAAGCGAACACATCGCCTTGAATCCAGATAGCCCAAAAGGGAGAGAACTCGGGACACGCGGTCATGGTCAGGTTGGAGAGGACCGTCTTCTCGTTGCATTGTCTCAAGATCTGGGAACAGCTCAATAGCGTCATTAACCTCTTTCCGGGTTCAGGTAAAGTGATGGATACAATCTCGTAGTTTTCTATACTTTGGCGGTAGCTAAGACTTGATAAGAAAGCGAACCTTACTCTACGGCAATTTTGAATAGACAGAAATATCTTTAAATCCCGTAACTTCTGACCATTGATTTGAAGAGTTGTGAATTGATCTGGTTGTATTTGGAATGTCCTTCTAGAATATCGTGCACATGGTCTCTGATCTGGAATTAGAAAGATGCAGGCTCTGACAATGATGAAATGCCATACTCCTTGGAGATATCTGTCCACCCACCCTCCCAGCATCAAAACCCCACCGACATCTACCTCTCCCCTCTCCCACTACCACATTCACCCCACCGGCACCTACCTCTCTCCTCTCCTACTACCACCATCACCCCACCGACACCTACCTCTCTCCTCTCCTACTACCACCATCACCCAACCGACACCTACCTCTCCCCTCTCCGAGGAGCACCCACCCACCGACATCTACGTCTACTCTCCTACTACCACCATCACCCCACCGACACCTACCTCTCCCCTCCTACTAATACGCTATCACCCCACCGACACGTACCTCTCTCCTCTCCTACTACCACCACCACCCCACCGACACGTACCTCTCTCCTCTCCTACTACCACCATCACCCCACCGACACGTACCTCTCCTACTACCACCATCACCCCACAGACACCTACCTCTCCCCTCTCCTACTACCACCATCACCCCACCGACACCTACCTCTCCTACTACCACCATCACCCCACAGACACCTACCTCTCCCCTCTCCTACTACCACCATCACCCCACCGACACCTACCTCTCCTACTACCACCATCACCCCACAGACACCTACCTCTCCCCTCTCCTACTACCACCATCACCCCACCGACACCTACCTCTCCTACTACCACCATCACCCCACAGACACCTACCTCTCCCCTCTCCTACTACCACCATCACCCCACCGACACCTACCTCTCCTACTACCACCATCACCCCACAGACACGTACCTCTCCGCTCTCCTACTACCACCATCACCCCACCGACACCTACCTCTCCTACTACCACCATCACCCCACCGACACCTACCTCTCCTACTACCACCATCACCCCACCGACACCTACCTCTCCGCTCTCCTACTACCACCATCACCCCACCGACACCTACCTCTCCTACTACCACCATCACCCCACCGACACCTACCTCTCCTACTACCACCATCACCCCACCGACACCTACCTCTCCTACTACCACCATCACCCCACCGACACCTACCTCTCCTCTCCTACTACCACCATCACCCCACCGACACCTACCTCTCCTACTACCACCATCACCCCACCGACACCTACCTCTCCTACTACCACCATCACCCCACCGGTACCTACCTCTCCTCTCCTACTACCACCATCACCCCACCGACACCTACCTCTCCTCTCCTACTACCACCATCACCCCACCGACACCTACCTCTCTCCTCTCCTACTACCACCATCACCCCACCGACACCTACCTCTCCTCTCCTACTACCACCATCACCCCACCGACACCTACCTCTCCTACTACCACCATCACCCCACCGACACCTACCTCTCCTACTACCACCATCACCCCACCGACACCTACCTCTCCTCTCCTACTACCACCATCACCCCACCGACACCTACCTCTCCTACTACCACCATCACCCCACCGACACCTACCTCTCCTCTCCTACTACCACCACCCCCCCACCGACACCTACCTCTCCTCCTCCTACTACCACCATCACCCCACCGACACCTACCTCTCCTACTACCACCATCACCCCACCGACACCTACCTCTCCTCTCCTACTACCACCATCACCCCACCGACACCTACCTCTCCTACTACCACCATCACCCCACAGACACCTACCTCTCCGCTCTCCTACTACCACCATCACCCCACAGACACCTACCTCTCCTCCTCCTACTACCACCATCACCCCACCGACACCTACCTCTCCTACTACCACCATCACCCCACCGACACCTACCTCTCCTCTCCTACTACCACCATCACCCCACCGACACCTACCTCTCCGCTCTCCTACTACCACCATCACCCCACCGACACCTACCTCTCCTCTCCTACTACCACCATCACCCCACCGACACCTACCTCTCCGCTCTCCTACTACCACCATCACCCCACCGACATCTACCTCTCAGCTCTCCTACTTCCACCATCACCACACCGACACGTACCTCTCCGCTCTCCTACTACCACCATCACCCCACCGACACCTACCTCTCCCCTCCTACTACCACCATCACCCCACCGACACCTACCTCCCCTCTCCTACTACCACCATCACCCCACCGGTATCTACCTCTCTCCTCTCCTACTACCACCATCACCCCACCGACACCTACCTCTCCTCTCCTACTACCACCATCACCCCACCGACACCTACCTCTCCTACTACCACCACCACCCCACCGACACCTATCTCTCCGCTCTCCTACTACCACCACCACCCCACCGACACCTACCTCTCCTACTACCACCATCACCCCACAGACACCTACCTCTCCTACTACCACCATCACCCAACCGACACCTACCTCTCCGCTCTCCTACTACCACCATCACCCCACCGACACCTACCTCTCCGCTCTCCTACTACCACCATCACCCCACCGACACCTACCTCTCCTACTACCACCATCACCCCACAGACACCTACCTCTCCTACTACCACCACCACCCCACCGACACCTACCTCTCTCCTCTCCTACTACCACCATCACCCCACCGACACCTACCTCTCCTACTACCACCATCACCCCACCGACACCTACCTCTCCTACTACCACCATCACCCCACCGACACCTACCTCTCTCCCCTCCTACTACCACCACCCCCCCACCGACACCTACCTCTCCTACTACCACCATCACCCCACCGACACCTACCTCTCCTACTACCACCATCACCCCACCGACACCTACCTCTCCGCTCTCCTACTACCACCACCACCCCACCGACACCTACCTCTCTCCTCTTCTACTACCACCATCACCCCACACACACCCAAACACGTGACTATATGTCTCACGTGTACAAGACACCCGCCTGCGGGAATATATGACTTACCTGTATATGACTCTCGACACCGTGAATATATCTTATCTGCATATGACACCGGCCCAAGTGACTATATGTCTTACCTCCACACGGTATCAAAACCCAATTCTCAGCTCTGGTCGTGTTAGTTGTATCTTTGCCAAGACTGCCGTCGGTGACGTTGAGACAAAATCCTGTAATTTGGTCATAAAGGAAGGAGTGACATTTGCCTTCACTGGGAATAGCAAACAGCTGAGCACAGTCAAGTCTAGATCCATTCCAAACTTTAACTGCCGCCTCTGAAACAGGGGCCGACTTCTTTTTATAGCAATAGTTCTTAACGGTCTGCCTCCCATGTACCTCAAGGAGGGACAGGCAAATCAAACAGGCTGTTGCAGCTGCTGCCATCCTCGACCTACTGGAGATGAAGCCCAAGATGCAAATGTTCCCAGATGTCCAATATGTTTAAGGTTGGATCCAATTTCATGTGCCAAGACTATTGGTTGCTATTCAGAGACATGTACGTTGAGGAAAACAGAGGCCAATAAGAGACTTGTAGTAATTTTCGTCTAAGTTAACAATGTATTGTTAAACACACAATGGCTTTTAATCCCATGTCAGTTTAATTTAATCGAGTCAATTGTACGATTCCGACTTTATCATGAACATGTGTTTATGAATCACTATCAGATAGTAATGATGTTCGCAAAAAGGAAAGAGAATTTTACATCGGACATCATTTTTGTCACTGATGTGTCAAATTTGGAAATGTCCTCCACGTGTCTACCTTTTTGAAACCTTTATTGAGGCCTTGAATATTGTAACTTTGATCAAACAATTTCTGGGTTTAAAGAAATTTACCATTTATACTGGCCCTTCGGCACCACAGTATCCTTCATTGGTGTCGAGATATGCACCACAGCATGTTGGTGTGATACACACCATCCTTGACGAAACACAGACATCATATTTACGTGAATTGTTTGGACGTCACAGTAGATCATGACGTCACAATACAGAAGTGATGAAGTCGTGTGGATACTGTTAACTTATTTATTCGTTTGTTGGTTTGTTGGTTTGTTTGTTGAGCGAGATAAAGACAAAGTTGGTCTAATAGGCCTTGTCTCAAGTAGTCGGGTAAAATGAATCTACTAAATCATCGAAACTAACCACGCCTCTGACAACACATATTGGCATCTCCTCTCCTTACAAGACACTGACTCTGTTTTTCAGTCATTTGTTAATTCACTGCTTCAAGAAAGATGCTTGTTTTGACCTGAGCATTGCATGTGTGTGCTTGTGTTTGTGTTTGTGCTTGTGTGTGTGTGTGTGTGTGTGTGTGTGTGTGTGTGTGTGTGTGTGTGTGTGTGTGAATGGTAAATGGTAAATGCAGCGGGTAAAGGGTTTATAACTTCATTAATATGCGCTTGTGAATATTGCCAGTGGCTGATTTATAGAACAGCTTAAGAGGTCCCGGCAATAACAGACGTTAATGCACAGGGGGTTTAGACAAGATCCTGAGAGCCACAAAGAAATATGGGTCTTCCCTAGAAAGGGGCCTCATTCTTAGCATCAGTAGATAAGCAGGGACCTTCTGGGGGAGTATTATGACGATGTTTTAAATGTAAATGTATTTTTCAACATAATACCCTTCAACATTCATGCATTTTATCCCAGCTGCGTGGAAATCGTTTCTCTTGGCTGCAACAAATAGACATCTACATCTGCCATGGCGTCATTGTTCGTCTCGAAATGGGTTTCGGCTAGAGCTTTCTTCATGTTTGGGAAAAGATGGAAGTCTGACGGAGTCAGATCAGGAGAAAAAGATGGGCACTGAAAGAGATCAAAGCCACACTCGTGGATTGTAGCCTTGATTTGTTCCCCAGCTTCGAATTCACATGTCTCTTAGTCTTAATTTGAGGCCACCAATGCCTAAAAAGTGCAGCAAAACATACCCCTTTTTTTGTCCGGCCCTTTGGAAGTCGACTATGACACCCTTGGCAGCCCAGAACAAGGATGTCACAACTTGATGATGGAACAATCTTTACCTTCTTTGGTGGTGATGATTGTTTTGTAACTCTTGTTATGGAAATGATGAACCCATGCGTCATCCATAATCACAAGAACCTTTCTGGATCTGCTTCAAACATGGGTAGATCACCACGAGGCATGTGTTTGGTGCGTTGTGTAGCAGATGTCAGTGTGTTGGAACCTAACGAGCTATTACTTTCTTCATTGTCACCGTTTATGTTATATTGGAAGGTATAATATGGCGCCCAGTCAATCGCCGGTCAAACACCCTCATATCTTGGATTCTCTGGAACATTTCTGGTGTTTTTGACGTCACTGGTCTTCCGGGACGGGGGTGTCTTTAATGCTCTCTCTGCCACGCTTAAACTCTGCTGCCCCCTCTTAAGGAACCGACTTTTAATTTTTTTCGAAAAAAACTAATTATGCCTCAGACTGTTGAAAAAAATAAATTGCCCGCCACAAAAATGACATTGTTGCAAGATGGGTTTTTTAAAAAGAAAAAAAACAAAAAACTCACATAATAAAAAAATGTCTGGTTTTGTAGCTGTAGCTGACAAATATCTAATCTCGATACAAATTCACAGCCCCCAAACACCGCCACCACCAATCCCCATCCGACCTGTTTTTACTGACTTGATACATCGAAACAAGTTGGTTAAATGACTGAAGTTTGTGTAAATATACTTCTATGAAATCATGAAATGTCGTCAACAAAAAAAATCACTGTTAAGCAATTCCTTTAATGTGAGGCTCAGAACTTGTAATCAACCCTCGCACAACTAATGGCTAGCATCATGACTCGATAAGGTGTGTGGGCATGCTATCTGACGGTTCTCTTGAATAATTATCTAACTTGAATTACAAGAGAACGGACATCGATCAACCTAAAGATAGTTTAAACCCCAGCTCAGACTTGGCTGTCACGCCATATCTCCGTACAGCAGCATCAATGAAGAGTGTATTTATTGTTTATCAATCAGACAAAGTAATTACAGATGAAATCTAATCGTTGCCGCACCAGCATCGCATGCGTCACATTCATTAACACTACGTAAACGTTATGCTCTGTTACACTCTTAACGGTAATGTAGTAATATCTCATGCTAATTAATGAAAAAATAATGTATTGTTTCATCAATTATATCGTCACATGATGATAGCGTTACCTTTCTTCTCCCTTTGTGTGGAGAACTATTCATCTGAGGATTTTGATAAAATAAGAACAATCCTTTCAAGGATGGTATTCTTTGCGATTTTTAGTCAAAGTACCAATAAAAACACAATCTTTGGGAACTTTCATTCCGTCCCACATACCAGTGAGCTTCTTATTGTAGCAATCGATAGTCTACACATTGATCAGCGCTGGGGCGGGCTAGTAATAACCAGAGGTTGATAGTATGAGCACGGTGTCATGGATGGCCATGACGCTGTAAAATATATCTCTCCTGATGTCGACTGATAAGTTATTCAGTGTAAACACCTAGAAGCTTTTACGACTATTCAACTGATTTTGCTGTCGACTGAACTATTGTATTGGTCTTTTTTTAATCCAACCAGCATCAGGTAATAATGAACTGTCACTTTGCTTTGTCTGCTTATACTTTGTAAATACCAATTAGTTATTAAGACATCCTGCAACATTTCTATGCAAGACATAGTTCATAAATATAAGGCGACAGAAATACGTTTTCTTAAAATTCGAGAACAACGATCAAACAGTGTCTTTATGCTTGCATTGCAAAGCCAAGCCCATTTTCATTAACGCCAGTGTCTTAAAGGCTGAAAATATTAATTCAAGTGTCATAAATAATAAAATATTCTCTATGACTGAACTGACTTGAACTAGAACGCAGTACATCACGATTGGGAAGATTTCTACTGAGGCGTAAATGAGACCGTTTATCGTTTGACCAACACCGTTAATTTGGCGAAGGTTTCTTAATTTTGGCATGTTGTGTGCTTTTCATGTGCACATACAAAGGTCACATTGATTCCTATTACTTGTCATTGTATACAACGATTTTGTACATAATTTTATATTTATCTAGAGCATTTACACGGTTTTACGTAACTTTATTCAAAGAAATAAAGCATGACATTAAAGTAATCTCTATTACAATTAATGACGGAAGTATACTTTGTTAACTTATAAGATTCAGCGTACAACATACTACAGAATCATGTTGAAATGTACCGAATTGATCATACTTGGTTTGACGACCTTGCATCTGGGCAGAAAACTATCAAACACCACCAAGGACACTCAGCCTGCAACTTATTCATTATCAGGTGAGGTGAGATGACATGCATCAACCAAGTCATTAAGCCTGACCACCCGATCCCGTTAGTGGCCTCTCACGACAAGCATAGTCGCCTTTTACGACAAGCATATGTTGCTGAAGACCTATTCTACCCCGGATCTTCACGGGTCTCTTACAGCGATCATTGTGATGGACACCATGAGGTATGAGCTATTTTTGTAACTTCTGTAACGTAAGTTATTATTTCAACTTAAGCGTTCTTACATGTAAATAACTAGAGAATGTACCACATGTTCTATTTGGGATGACACAGTCTTAGTAAAGTACAAATTACAGTGTTTTTACATAGCTATTGACCATTGGAGCCGTACCTGTTTAAACATATCAGAGGGGTTTACAAAGTTTGTTGGTTTGTTTTGTAACGCCCCAGGTTATACAAAGTACGTGATCCAGACTACCAGTTGTCGGACTTCCATTTTTGTGGAAGCCTCGATGGCTGAGTGGGTTAGGCCGCTGGCGATTAGTTGCTTTAGTCTGAGGAGTGTGGGTTCGAATCCCGGATGAGACTGAACCCGCAAAAGTACTAGAATTTGGTGTCCCAAACATTACATATGCGACATTTAACATTTAACATTCAAAACACCCACTCACTCTTGGATAGCAGATAACCTGTGACTCGGCAATTAG